ATATTAAACCCCAAAACCCCAAAACCCCGGAAAGCTTCATAGAAAATAGGAAATTTAATTAAAAAATAACAATAGAAGTTTCATATAAATTTTGAGCTTTTCTGCTTGTTTTAGTATTTAATATTTTATTAAGCCTGTATACTGCCATTGGGTATCCAAATTCTCCTTTTCTGAGTTACTCCAGAAACAAATTTAGGCAAGCTCGAAGATCTATCCGCATAGAAACTTTCACTATAGATATTTTGCATGCCCCTCTGTAGAGATTAAGGCTTTTTGGATTAGACTTAAGCGTTCTAATATATTCTTGAAGTCTATATTTGTTAAGGAGACATCTTATTGAGTTTGAGTTTAATTAAACATATTCGATTCTTTTGATAGCTAATAGATTTATTAATTCTGCCTGATTTATTTAACTCAGTTTTTGTTGATACTTAATTGAAAAGCCTCTTAGTATTATATCCCAATCCATCTGCACTTAAGATTGAATTATTTTGATTACTTTAAGGCTCTAGAGATTCCAGCTTATTATTTTTCTGTGGTCTTTACTTTATTATGGATAAAGTCCCGTTTGATCCAATGCTAACATTGTCTCTTTATTCCGATGCATCCATTCTACTATTATATCTGTTGTTTGCTTTCAAATCAAAATCCATATATTTAAGTTTTGACTTTCTTTTCTCATCTTGAACATTAGGCATTCAATATTATATTTAGTCTTTATTAATAACTAGAGGAGGTCTCTCACTGCTGTCCTCATTTAGCTAAATTCTCTTATTTCTCTAATTTTTTCTTACTATAGGTGCCCCAATTGCATAAATATCTCCAATGCTAGAGTTTAAATCTAAGTCATTATTTGAGGGATTAATAGATCTGAAGGACGACTTATCCTTAATTTATTTATCGTATCCTCTGTCACTCATTAATGATTACTATTGATTTTTATCCTAAGATTTCTTGAAACCGCCATGGTATACAGTCCTATTATTCTAGGGAATATGTACTCTTCTTTATATATTTTAATCAATTTGTGGTAAATGCTATCTAACATCTTAGTAATCAAGATCTATTTAACTGAATTCTCCACTCCCTTTAGGATTAATAGGTTACTAAAATTGATTTTTTCTAAATTTATTTGGATTCTAAAATAGTTCTTATTGCTAGGGAATTTCTTAGTCTTTAATAGAGCCAAGCTATTATCTAATCGAACCTCTACTCAAAATATCTGTATTTGATTTAAAATCTGAGTCTAATAATTATTATGGTGGAATCCCCATTCTGTAAGTTGATACCTAAGAATTATTCAGATGAGGCTAAGAGTCAATATAGCTATTGGTGCTAGGGAATATATCAGCAGCAGAATTATTTTGATTCGCAATTTAGTAGTTATTCTTCATCTTGCTATTGCTGTCATCATCAGGATTAGCATTTACATTTTAATTAAACTTTCTATTGAAGTTGGTTTATTACGGAGTAAACTAGGAGTTTTACTTTTAAAGACTGAGCTGATTATCTTTACTAAATTGTATGTTATTCTGTCGTGACTATTGATTCGTCATTTAAGATTTTATTTGCTTTGGATCGTCAAAAGTTTTACCAGAATCTTAGATTTCTGAAAAATCTCTTATTGATGACTGATTGTAATTGCTTTGGTTATAATACTGCTAATCTTTATTAAAGTCTTGGCCTAGATTGTTAGAGATTTAAGAGACTTGCTTTTGAAATGCATTCTCATCGTTAGAATCATCTTCGTCAATTTGCTTAAATGTTACATCAACCTACTCATCAGTGTCATTTCTTATTTTAGGATCTGGAGTTTCAAAACCTATGTTTGATGCTAGTGCACTTTCTCTTTATTGTAAGTACTCTTGAAGTTCGTCACGAAATTATGGAGGAATCATAAAACCTTCAGGCAAATTCATCAGCCAATTATCATATTCTTAGATAGTATCCAATATCTTTTTGAATACATTTTTATCAAAAAGACCAGCTCTTCTTTATCCATCAGATAATAGCATCAGGCCTTGTCCATGTTATACTCCCCCATCCCAAAATCCTTTGTATATACTTCCATCAGTCCATTCCATTTATCCGAATCCGCATCTTTCATCTTCTATATACTATCCCTTGTAGACGTTTCCACTTTCCCAAGTGAAGGTACCAAATCCATTTTTCTTATCAAATTTGTACTCACCTTCGTACTGATTACAAATGCTATTATCCTGACTTGATTTCTTTTTCCATTTTCCTCTTCCATGTTTTAAGCCATTCATGAACAAACCTGAGTAAACATTTCCATTCATCCATTTGTACTAACCATAGCCATCTGGTTTTCCAAGCTTGTACTAACCTGTATAGATATCTCCATTACTAAAGAAATCAGTTCCATTTCCATGTCTCAGACAAGATACCCACTCACCTTCATAACGATCTCCATTCTTCCAAGTGTGTACTCCGTAACCATCAGCCTTGCTGTTCTTCCACTAACCAATGTAGGAGTCATTACTTATGCCTTTCCAGATCCCATATCCTTCTTTGGCACCCATAATCCACTCACCGTCAAAAGATTCACCATTTTTCCAGATGTAAATTCCTTTACCATGAGCTTTTCCATCTTAATACTGCCCTTGGTAAGTATTTCCATTTACATATTTTTCAAAGCCATGACCATGTCTTTAATCATTCTACCAGTCACCTTCATAAAGTCTCCCTGTATTATAAATTATAACACCTTTTCCTTGCCTTTTCCTCTCTTCTAGTTGACCATAATAAATGGAATCTTTGTAATGTTTGGTACCGAAATTCTCCTGTCCTCAAACTATGCTAAATATGAATTCATTACTCAGCATTTTATAGTCTATGTCTGTGCTCATCTAAATTCTACTTTAATCATTTCTTAGAGGATTCATCCCGTCTATACATTTTTATTAACATTGTTAAATATTAGAGTTACTTATGTTTTAGCTAAACTAACTTGGTTGAATTTGCTAAGATCTATTAATGTGAAAAAGAATACTAACTTTTAAGGAGCCTATTGAGAAAATTTGCTGCTGTTTTATAAAATGGGTTTAACTTCGATTTTTGACATTGAATTTAAAGTATAAAATTTATATCTGATTTAAAATTATGCAATTAACTTAATAATTATGATATAAAAATGTGAATTATTAGTTATTTATCAATTCTTAGAGATATTTCTGTTTATGCTCATACTTTTATCACCCAGAAAAATATAAGGAAAACAGCTAGTGAAATTAGGAAAGAGATGAAAATGAGCACTGCAATCTGCTTTCTTAGTTTCTTTTTTGCTTCAATGACCTTTTGCTTGTAAGCCTCTCCATCTCCATATGTTATAGTATCTGACTTATTCATTTCTAGATTTTTAATAATTTATTATTGCAAACATTTATTATTCAAAGCTTTATTAGCAGTTTGGGGTTTTGGGGTTTTGGGGTTTTGGGG